CTTGTTAGGTCAACAATCCTTTATTCTGCTAATTTGGGTTCCTTTTTTTTATTTTATCTAAAAATATTATCCCATTTTACCAAAGAAGATTTAATAATACAAAAAAAAATCAATGTTGAGGCTTAAACAATAATAGCTAAAATAGCTAAATCACTTTACAAAGTACTTTAGCTTCAATTGTTCATGGTCTATGAAGCAGAATGCTTCCAGAAGGCTTTATAAAAGCACTTTAATTAAAAGATGAGAGGAAGAAATAGGTGTGCAAGCTACAGGGATATCAACAACTTGTGATCAATAGCCATAGTTGAGTTGTTCATCGACATTTATCTTCAGTAGACATTTCAAGATCAGAAATTTAGTTTTGAATGTATCTAATGTAAATGATAATAATACATTGTTTTTCTTCTACTAATCATGTAGGTTGTGTAAGCTACAATATATGAAACTAAACCACTGAAATAAGTCTATATGTCCCATTTTCTTGCAGCAGATACATATTTTTAAAGCCCTAAATAAGAGTTTTACTTATTTGCCCACCTTGCCTTGTTCTAGTATAGTTGCTTAGCTCTACATGAAGAAACATAACTTATGCAGTGGAAGGGTCTCTGCTGCATAGTGGGAACTCTTGTTGTGTGTTTCCAGCCCAGATCCCACTGCTGTAGAATGTGTGTCCACGTGTGAATGGCTTCCTGTGTATCCATGTGCCAGCGTACATTGCCCTTTGAATGGGGCGCCTGTGTGAATCTGTTGCATGTGTAGTTGCCGAGACAGTTAATGCGTTGATAGGTCTGTATGGGTGTCATGTTCCTTTGATATCCCATGTAAATACTGAGCTCTGATTACTTCACCTTGGCCAAGTGATAGTTCTGTGTTGATCCAATAAGATTTGACAGTCTAAAGCACTACTAATGTCATACTGCATTTGTTTATGATTACGTTTTTTGAATATGTTAAATGTAAACTTTTTTTCCATTTTTTTTCTTTTCAAGTACGGGACCCTCAAGAATTCCTTGATTTATAGTTAAAAAAATCACCATAGCTCCTTTATTTTCTATAAGTTATTGAATTAAATTAAAATTAAAAACATGTAATAAAAAATATAAAAAGTATTTTTTCCTAGTATACGCATGTAAAAAACATGAAATTATTATCAATATGTTCACTGTAGTCAAAATATTAATAAAAAGTGAATATCTGGATTAAGCTGCTGTTATCTACTATAGATTTTTAGGTAAATGATTTTAATTTAGTATTCCTATACCCTCAACTATAGCATACCTAAAGTGCAGATATAATAAACTGACATCAGCAGGTTAATTAGTCGGCTATGCGTTCTAGTATTCAGCTTGTAGATAATGACTAAACGGAAATGTCCCCCTTAACTTCTCCACTGTAGTTTTGAAATATTTTTAGCTTGATAACAGTAATGGTGACTCTCATTTAGCTTTAACACAATGACGTTTTTAAAAAGAACAAAAAAACTTTCACAGGGCCTTTTCTTTTAGCAAAGTGTAATAACTGTCTTTTAACAAGCTGACCAGCAATGCACATGTGAGTTGAGGTGATTGCTGTTCTGTGTGCTTCAACATCTGGAGCAAATTGGTCCCTCTGCTACTTTCTATCGAACCTTGTTAAAACTAAAAATAAAGCTCCACCTCAGCTAAATTTGATCTGTATAGTTTTACACGTTTGTGTTTTTAGATTTATTTAGCAAATCAGGAAGAAGTAGATTTGTCAACTTATCTGCTCAGGTTGTTACTTGTCAACTTTCATTTCAAAATAGAATGACCTAATTAAACTAGCAATGGCTCCATTATTTAAGACTCCATTACTCTGTTTTTTTCTCTTTTTTTCCCTAAAAGTATACATAAACAGACAAATTTGTCAAATTTTTAACTAAAAAGAAAATGACCTATTTTCTTTATGACTTGCTCGTCTTGACTTACTGCAGTTTAAGTCATTGTTTTGTGGTTGAGTGCAGGCTTCCTTAAAAACATTGACACAAAAAGATTTATGATGCTCACAAGCAAGTGACGATATAGTAGTAATAATAGTAAAATTGTCTTAGAAAGTAAAACTAAATATCAGTTATCTTCAGCTTTTTCATAGATACAAATTGAAATTGACATGTTCCATAAAGAATTATTAGAAATAGGATTATTTTGTACTGTTGTTTTGAATTTCCGTCAAGGATGGTTTAAATTTTGAGTGTTTTTTTTTTTCCTCAGCCTATGCTTACACTTTCCCCCTTGCTTTGCACAACCAAAGCTGAGTACTGGATTAAAATTGGCTCATGTTGTTGTTTAAAAAAAATCTCTTCTTTTGCAGTGTTGGCCAGTTTCCGAGGGACCGTCCAGCATGGCCTCCCGCTGGAAATCGGAGACACAGTGCAGATCCTGGAGAAATGTGAAGGTATGCTACGCACAGTGGATGCATACAACAAGCTGTTTTCTCAGAAAGCAAAGGAAAATAGAGATGGACACAGAATACTCGATGTAAGGAAACCATTTGCTTCCGCTTGAGTGAATACCCAGAAACATGCAGAATCACTTCTGCTTCTCATTGGCAAGATATTTTCAGGATATGATGTCACCTCTATTCATAATTTACACTGTTAAAATACTTATACAGTATTAAAAAAAAAATATATATATATTTATATATATATATATATATATATATATATATGACAGTACAGCATCCAAATTAGGATATTTACATTTACTTTAATGTACACATGGTGAAGATTTACATCACTTATACCTTGCCTTCCAGGGGATTCGCACCTCTTAATCTACTGGACATTTTCTCATTACAAACACAAACTTTAGTGTATTTATTACAACAAAATTAAAGCAGTATTGTTTTGCAAATAAAAACCTGAAAAAGGCAATTTTTTTGTTATTTGATACCCCCAAATTAAATAGAGTGCAGCTAATCACCTTCAGAGGACACCTAATTAGAACTTAAAGTTAACTGTGGTTGCGTATTTGTGCTCTGGGGATTATTTTGTTTTGCAGGGACAGGGAAGCTGTTTAGAGCTGAGGTGCCAAAATGTGAAACAATTCAATGGCCATTAATGCTTTTGTGGAGGCATGTTATGATGCAATATGTGCAGAAAAGTAGGCAGCATCTCCTGCACTATAAAGGTCTGCAGAGATTTGTGTTAGCCATATTTTCCTGCAGCACAGACTTTTTCCCAGCATCCTGAATCTGTTTTTCTCTTCTGCTCACTTCTCTTTTAAACTCTAGAGTTTATTCTTTTATGGTTCTCCACTTTCTTGTGTTTTTCTCATAATCTCTTTGTGTCGTGCATGTTTGACTTGTGAGAGTTTCAGAAGAATCTAAAATCATTTCATTGCAGGACAGTGCTATCCCCACAAATAACCAGCCGTGCAAAAACACACAGTCACCTCAGCCTCTTCCGGAGCTTGTTTCTCACTTCCTTTGTGGAGATACAAAAACATACTCGCACATAGGAGCACACACACACATTCACTGAAGGACAGCAGGCAGCCATGCATCTTGCCAGTCAGAGGGATGTGATATTGTGGTAAGGGACCCAGAGGAAGTAGACAATAGCTGAGCCAGTTGAATGCTCTGCCCAGAAGGGAGGAACTAAATCAAAATCCTGCCAACAGCGAAGAGACAGGGGGACAAGCTTTTGTCAGCAGAAGAGACAGACTAATGCCTCTGACTCATGTTGATACTATTGACACTTCTAAACACACAAGCTACCAGAGCGTCTGTAATGGCTGCCAACTCCTGTCTGATAATATAAAACCTCAGCTATTGATTTTTGTCAGTCTGAGGCTTTGTTTTGGTAACTTCCTGTTGTAATTGAATACATAGACTCCTGTAAACTGTTTAAAAACAAGGAAAGGTTCAGTCTGGCAGAGCAATAAAGCCCCAATGTTTTACAGGGATGGTTCAGAAATGTAAAATCTGTTTCAAGCAATGATTCCCAGATGTGGAGGCGTGACACTCATGATCAAGCATTATGGAGTCTTGACATCCACTACAAGATTTAAACTAAACAATAAACATTTACATTTAGATATAGAATATATAAAGAAATCACTTGCAAATGGGAAAAACCATCTACTTTAGTGGTTGATGCAGTGCGTTATGTTATTACACCGATGGTTATTTAATTTTGTAGAAATGTTTTCGACCAGTAGTTTGGGTCATGAGTTTGGGTCTGGTACCATTTTGTGGGTCGGAACCTGAAAAGTTTGGGAACTTCCTGTTTGATGGATATAAGTCACCAATGTATTATATGCACATATGGGATAAACAGGAAAATAAAAATACAAACTCCATGGAACCATTATGAAAAATATATTGCATAATTTCTGCTTTTAATTCAAGGCAGAAAAGTAAAATTTGACTATTGTATTAATATTGAGACTAGAAATTTTATAATAGGGGAATTTTTCCTAAATACTAGCACATTAATATTTTTTAAAGAGACGTGAAATAAACACAAAAAATAAACATACAGAACACATACAGAGGACACGTAAAGTTTTGTGGCCCCTTTAAATTTTTCACTCTTTATTTCATTGCAGCCATATGCTAAAAATTTATAAAGTTCCTTGGATCAATATCAAATGATCCTAAGTATTCACATCCTTTGTGGCGACACTCATGTTTAACCCACATGCTGCCAATTTCTTCTGATCCTCCTTGAGATGGTTCTGCTCCTTCATTGAAGTCCAGCTGTGGTTAATTAAACTGATTTGACTTGATGAGGAAAGGCACACACTGTTCTATATAAAACCTTACAACTCACGGTGCATGTCAAAGCAAACGAGAATCATGAGGTTGAGGGAAATACCCAAGGAGCAAGGCACTGTGGCAAGGCACAGATGTGGCGAAGGTTACAAAACAATTTCTGCAGTACTCAAGGTTCCTAAGAGTACAGTGGCCTCCATAATCCTTAAATGGAAGAAGTTTGGGATGACCAGAACTCTTTCTAGACCTGGCCGTCTAGCCAAATGGAGCAATCGTGGGAGAAGAGCCTTGGTGAGAGAGGAAAAGAAGAACCCAAAAATCAATATGACTGAGCTCCAGAGATGCAGTAGGGCAATGGGCGAAAGTTCCACAAGGTAAACGATCATTTCAGCCATCCACCAGTCGGGGCTTTATAGGAGAGTGGCCCAGTGGAAGCCAAAAAACACATGAAGGACTCCCAGACAGAAAGAAGATTCTCTGGTCTTATGAGACTAAGATTGAACTTTTTGGCATTAATTCTAAGCTTTATGTGTGAAGAAAACCAGGCACTGCTCATCACCTGTCCAATATAACCCCAACAGTGAAACACGGTGGTGACGGCATCATGCTATGGGGGTATTTTTCAGCTGCAGGGACAGGACGACTAGTTGCAGTTGAAGGAAAGATGAATGCGGCCAATATAAAACCTCTTCCAGAGTGCCCAGGACCTCAGACTGGGCTGAATGTTGACCTTCACTGCTTGACACAAAACAGGATCAGTTTCAGACTTCATTCAGTTCAAACACCTGTCAATTAGAAACCAAAATTAGTTCAGAACTGTAATTTGCTACTTAATTAATGAAGATACAAAGAATTGCAACTGCAAATTTCAGCTATATGAAACAACTGGAAGTGGGTCAGGGGCATTACTTATTGAACGCCGGTTGTAGCACTGAGTGGATCTAACTTCAATAAACGCACTGGACATTTCTCAGGAATTTCTTTGAAATCTCTCTAACATGGAAATTAAATGATAAATTAATGTTTAAGTTGTAGATTTTTAAAAAGTTGGTACGCCTAGATGCTGGTAACTTCTGCACAGCTACTTGTTTGTCATGTAGTATTAATCATTATTAGCTGGTCTTGGAGGCTAAAGCTGTCAGCTTCTCCCACAGCTACCAAAGCAACCCTTCACCACCTTAAAATAACTCAAATCTTAGAAATGCAATGACAGCTTATGTGAGCCATGTTCTGTAAAGCTTTACTCTTACCTGACGATAAAATCGGCTGACTGTTGACAAAGAAACCTAGAATAATTTCCATGTAAATTCGAGCTAGTGACCTTTTTGTGTATAGCACTGATTTCTAGTTAAAGAAAGTTTAATTAATAAACAAAGAGACAGTCAACTGAATGTTTGGATGCATTCTCCTTCTTGTTTTTCAGATTTTGCACCTTTATGCTTTATGCGCTAGTATTTGACTATGTTTTATTGCCTAAAAACTGCCATTAATGCCCACACCTGATGTATACTTTTAGTACAAGTGATACTTAAACTCGTAAGGTGTAGCAGACACATTGGGTTGAAGGAGAAGAAAGAAGTATGGAGTATGTGCGTTAATCCTAATAAATTGTTAACAAAGTCTTTAGTAATAGTATAGAACTTTACTGATTAGTTCACATTGCTTTAAAATAGCATCTAGAGTGCCAGCCACCATTGTTGGCCAAAATGTTATCCTGAATAATCACAGGAAAAACTGAGCACACTGCAGATTGAAGCAAATTGCACCATAGTAGAATGACTGTATTCATCTAAAAAAAGAAGAGGGAAGGGAAGTCACTAATGCTCTGGTGAAATCTAAGTGATTAGAATAATCTGAAACATTTACATCTGAGCTGTTTAGCTAATGCTCTTATCTGGAGGTATTTACAATGGCTGTGGTGGCCTTCCCTGGAATGAGCTTAAATAGTCTTTTTTTTTGCTGAACCGTATTACCTCAGATTTGTACAAATGTAAATTAACTACATTGTTTCTCTTTGGGTTTGCATTTCTAAAAGGCATCACATCTTAACTAATGGAGAATAAGTCCATTTGGGAGTGTGTAATGATGTGAAAAAGACCTTTTTATTCTTTCTTTTTTTTTTCTTTTTTTTTTTTTTGTTCCTCCAAACATTTGGTCATTGCCTTTTTTAAAACATCTGCTGGAGCGATTCAGCTATTCATAGCGTTTCTGTGTGGCTTTGTTTCAGCTTTTTCTACTCCCACTGCTCTGATTCATAAGTGGTAACAAAAATTGTGCCACAATTTAATAAAAGGCTGTTCAACTTTTCCTATTATCAAAACAAAATATGTATTTATATATTGTTTTATAATATAGCTTCAAAATAATAAGTCGTTTAACTAAAGACTAAATTATGGATTATTAAAAAAAAATAATTAACAAATGAATTTAAGGTCATTCTAATGTAGTCACAGGATATTACTACTTTACATGCAATAAAGTCAAATGATATCAAAAGATAAAGGTTTATTTTAGGGTTGCAACTAACAATTATTTAGCAAATTGAATATTCTGTTTATTATTTTTTTCAATTAATTGATTAATAATCGAAAAGGTCCCTTAAAAAAGATTCTTTTAAAAATTCTACCAGGTGAAACTAAATTTTTCCACTTGAGGAGTTTTGGATGGAACATATTGATTGAAATATTTAATATTTCTTTTTACAATTTTGGTATAATTGCTGCTCTGAGTGTGTTGATCTGTCAGCCAAAGGCATGTTTTAGAATCTCTATACTCCAGTTAACGATTAAATTAACTGGAATTATTTCGATAATCGGTTAATCACAATTAATCTGATTAATTGTTTTAGCTCTAATTTATTTCATCCAGCACAGCTGACAGAATTAGGCTGTTGACTTTGTAGTACACCTTTACAATGGTAAATGGTAATTGGCATGCACTTATATTGTCTTTATTCAAATCAGGAGACTTGACCAAAGTGCTTTACACTACATTCATTCACCCATTCACGCACACACTCACACACTGATGGTGGCAAGCTACATTGTAGCCACAGCTGCCCTGGAGCTCACTGACAGAAGCGAGGCTGCCGTACACTGGCGCCACCAGGCCCTCTGACCACCATCAGTAGACAATGCAGGTGAAGTGTCTTGCCCAAGGACACAATGACACTGAAAGTCGGAGTCGAGGCTTGAACCGTCAATCCTTCGATTTCAGGGCAAACTCCTACATCCAACGCCACTGTCGCCCTGTTTAAGGATGCTTAAAAGGGGCAATTTGTGTGGTTCAGGAAGAAGTATTGAGTCAGGAGTACCTTGTATGTCAACAAAACACATAGCAAGAAAGTATGTTGCAGCTATAGACCCATCAACAGACTCATTTAGAAATTAGATGCAGCTAACAACGGATTTACAAAGCTACTTTCTACCTAAAAGGCCAAAAAGAGAATCAATTCAGGAAGAAGGACTGTTTAAATCTTGTTCTAATTGGCTGCTTTTACCAGAAAAAATACAAAGCTGACACAATTACTGGATCAGGAGTACTTTCTATGACATGGAGAAAAATAATCTAAGATTATGTTCTGATGTTCAGCAAATTCAAACTGTGTTTTGTTTCCACAGGATGGTATAGAGGATTCATTCTAAAGAATCCTAATGTTAAGGTAAGCAAACTTGGAAGAAAAAAAGCTTTTCTTCTTATTTGTGTAAATGAATATACATTTACAGACACCTTCAGACAGGAATGTCAAATTCACAAACCTAACGTATGCACAAACTTATCTTCCTTTTATCTGACATAATTTATTTCTGTAGAGGTAAATACTTTTATCCATTTAAAATCATGGGATTCTGCTTAAAACAGCATTTCTCATGAACTGTTTGAAGCTAGCTGACCAGATCTATTTTGGACCTTTACTTACACCTAATATAGCAAACATAAGTATGCAAAATGTTCTTGCTACCTTTTTGAAAAGGTTTATATATTATGTACTAATGTTTAATAAGGTCATTATTACTCATTACTAATAGTAGGAGGGGAACTTCCATTGAAACTGTCATAGTTACATTCTGCTTGATAAAATACCTTATTTGGTAAATTTCTGTTTTTAATGTATTGACAGGCAGAAATAGAATCTTTGCGCACTGATTATGTATTTGAAATATGACATCCATATAAAGTCGGTCTTTAAGATTTGCTCCTGTTTATGATTAACAGGATGAATGTAGATATGTGGGTGAATGGGTTTATATAGACCAATGGTTTTCAAACTGGGTCCTAGGAACCCACTGTCCTGCATTTTTTGGGTATTTCCTTGCCTCCACACACCTGACTTTGATAAATGGATGACTAACAGGTCTCTGCAGCCCTTGATGGCTGCTAGGGAGGGAATGGAGTTATTTGGTGCAGGTGTGTGGGAGCAGCATCTAAAACATGTTGGACAGTGGGTCCTGTGGACCAGGTTTGCAAACCATTGATATAAATGGACAGACCGGGGGTTGGTTGGCAATGATGAAGAGATTATAAAAGAACATTAGAAATACCAATAGAGGGCGTTCAGAAGATGAAAAAACTGAATGGATATCCAGAAAATTAACATTTAAAAAATATGGAAACAGTTGATAATGATAATTGAAGGACAATTTAGAACTGTGCGCTGAATTTACAGTTGAATATGTCAGTTTAATCTTAGCTTTAATCTTTTTATCAAGCAGCAGTTTATTGCTGTCCAACTATTTTTAGATTTGTTCTTCTTGTGCAAATACCATAAACATCTTCGTCCTTTCAATTTTTTAATTCACACATATTCCAAAGTCTGAATTAATTACCTGTGTAATGCTAACAGTGCCAAATGATGCAGTGAGCATTTCAATGAACCTGTCTCTCCTCTTTTCAAAGGGGATCTTCCCATCCAGTTATATCCACCTGAAGAATGCCGTGGTGAAGAACAAAGGGTAAGAGATTTAACTCTAGTTTGCCGTTTCCATTCCTGAATGTAAGAGCTGGTTAAAACACAAATGTCTTCATTTTCAGGCAATTTGAGACAGTAATTCCCATCGAGGACTCAGTCATCACAGAGATGACGTCGACACTGCGGGAGTGGGGAGCCATGTGGAAGCAGCTCTATGTGGTAGGGATGATTACATGCAAACAAACCGACACAATTCCAATTTGAGTTTATTTGTGGCTTGGTGATTGGAAAACAGTTACGGCCCTTTTCCATACCCTCTCAATTGCTGAATTGATTGTGATAGTAGCCCATTAAGCTATCTGGGGGGCTGATTGAACTGAACTGATGAATGCTTTTAGATCGAAGAGCATAGATTCGCTACAGAAAGCAGCAGGAAACCTAAGCTTATTAGTTGAAATCCATTTTTTGCCCCTTTTTCACTGTAAAGATTAATTTGTCACTTAAATTGTCAAGGTGGGAACGTTTATGCAGTTGGATAGTTCCTCTGTTTTCCTTGATATCAATTATCCTTATGCCACCATTTCCATTTACTCTGGAACATTACTGTCTCTGGCAGTAGTGTTTAAAAAGCCTTAGAAAGACATAAATCAATTTACAGGAAACATCTCAAAAAAGATTTCTGCACATTTATTAAGCAAAGGAAAACATATTTTTTTGTTTGATGCTAAAGTTATCTAACACATTTTCTATTCAATTCTTGTGTTAATTGGACTCAAGGTTTAGAGCAAATCAACTAGGTGATGCAAAACGTAATGTAGTCATATGCTGGCGTTACGTTTGGTTGTAATAAACAGGAAGTTAGGGTAGTGAAATAGCACGAACCACAGTAATGTAGCAAGGTTTTGACAAAGCTGATCATGTGACATGAATATTTGCTAAATCCTTTTTAGCGCATAAAATTTTTTCAAAAATGTCAAAAACTTTCTGAAGTGTGTTCAGAAACTTTCAAACGTCCGAATTTTGCTGTTTCCTTCAAGCGCTCAAGCACATACTTTAAAATGCGGTTAAAGGACAATTAACATGTCAACATTTATTATAAAAATCAACAACTAATGCTCTTGCCATTTCCTTTTAGCTATTTAAGTTTAATTAAAGTCTCTTTTGTTTCTCTTTTTTGAGTTGCTGTTTTCCTAGGTATAAATTTAAGGTTATATAGATGTCCATATCTCTGAGGTACTCTTCAAAATGTGAAGTGAAGATCGCATTCAAGTAAGGAAAGGACGATTATCAATAGTCAACAAGCTGCTTAGGATCTAAACATGTGCTTGGTTACAATCAGATCAATGACTGAAATGTTTAAAACTAATTGTTACTAAGAAATGACCGAAAAATGGCAAAGAGGCTGGATAGACTGAACCTATGAAGTTGCAGATACTCAACTAAAGAATTTCCTTTTGGGTCATTAAGGCTTTGTCACAAGGCTGGCCTTAATGCGCAATTCAGATTTTTTTGGTACATCCGATTCTTTTGTTTGATCCTTCACTTTTCCAAATATATGTGACTTTTATGTGATTTCCTGTGTGAACTGCATTCACAGAACTTAAGTGTCCCCCATGCGCAGTATAGGAGGCAATGACGTCACAAATGAGCATGCTCTGCGTTAATGGAAGATAACATGGATGGTAGAGCTTGAGCGCATTTTGGAATCTTTCCTTTCTTTCCCAACCTCCTTTTTAAGAAGGCTGACTTTAAAGACTGCTCTCCGCATTTTCATCTGCCATGGTTGTTGTTTTTCCTTTCTTGACTTTGTTGAGTATTAGTAACGTTCAGGTCAGTTGAATGCAACCTGGCCATTCAGACACAGGTTGCATTTAAAAAGGTCAGATTCAGGACCACATAGCCAAGTGGCATAGTTCGCATTGGGAAAACTTGGATCTGTGTAGTTAAAAAGATCAGATACAGGTCGCATGCGTACAAAAAAATCGGATTTCGGTCACTTAAGGCTGCAACAGTGAGACACCATCCAGTTGTATCTGCTTCTTTAGGAAGAAAAAAAAACGTTTTTCTGTGTCTTACCAGCAGTCCTATAAGGATTTAAAGTTAACTAAATGTTCCTTAGATAAACTCACTCATAAAGTTTTGCACAAAGGTGAGTATGATTGAGCATTCTCCTAATCAAAATTATATTTAAAAAAAAAATTTAAAACTGTTTGACTGCTTGAATTCTATAACTTACCGTAAATTTTTAAACAAACATATGTTAGACCTTTTGCCCACTAAACAAATATGTACTGAGACTTATTATTGGAATGCCAATGAGGGTGAATGAGGCTCTATTTCCTGTCATGTTTGCCTGTGTCTCATCTCAGCGTTTCTCTCTCTCTTTCTCCTTCCTCTCCATCACTTCCACCTCCTACAGAAGAATGAAGGAGATTTATTCCATCGGCTCTGGCATGTGATGAATGAAATCTTGGACCTGAGGAGGCAGGTACTGGTCGGCCACCTCACTCACGACCGGATGAAGGACGTCAAACAGCACATCACGGCGAGATTGGACTGGGGTAACGAGTGAGTATCTGACTACTGGTGATGTCTTGCATAGAGGCACTGAGATGTTGAATTTCATTGGGTGAGCTCGAGACACAAACAGCAGGGTTGAATTTAGAGCATCCATTAACTGACAGGGTTTTTTATTGCAACCATAGTTGTTATATTTTTAACCCTCTGCATGCATAGTGAGCAATGCATGCAAGGTGTTATCTTTAATAGGTCTATAAAAAACAAAGGAAAGTTGCTTTATTTTACTTTTGACAGCTTTTTAGGTATGCTGGTTTATCTTTTGTCAAGCCATCCTCTTTTCATACAAAAATAAAGAAAGAAAACAGTTTTTTTTGACAACCCTGGAGTGAATAAAGTCTGCACCAGTCTCACCTGTCCACAAGACTTGTTTTTCTGAAAAATTTCAGGGTTTTTTGTGCGAACAAGGTGAGATTTTCTTCTGATAACATTTCAATGAAGGTCACACTCCTGCAGAGTTCAGCTAAATCTTTGATTTTTCTCTCCCTGCAATCCCATGAGCTGCTTATAGTCAGGTTTTTTTCTGTCTTGCTTACTTCATTTTGACCTTCATTGCTTCTGTTTTCCGCTTCTTCTTTAGTTTCTTATCTAATCAAAGCTGTTGGACTCTTCTGCTACATTGGCATCAATTTTGCATAATCTGAGGGCAGCTCAAGTTCATTGAGGTGAAATATTTGGAATACAATTATTCTTAAAAATTCATCCGTTGGGTCCTACATGTTTAATTAAGATTTACACCTCAGGCTTTCGTTTTCTCCAATATATTGACAGGTCATTTTTGCATTATCAAAAATATAAAGAAGTTTGTTGCCTGGATTTTCTTGGGATCAGTAGTGTTGTGCCCATCCGCTACCCAGGAATACACCCTCCCAAAAGTAGCTATACAGATGACATAGAGAAGTAGATATAAGGAGAGATGCCTACTCAACCCTGCTGTCAAGGCCAAGCTTGGAACCTGGCCAGTCATGTTCTGATTTATTGAGTTGTGTTCTGCTGTTTGTCTGGTTTATGACATATTTTGTCATGCATTAAATATGGCTGTAGTAGGTATATTGGACTGTCTTTTTTTACCAATGCACATTTAATGGGGGCTCAAATAAAGATGAACTTGAACTCCTGAGTTAACCAACCCGGGGGACTATAGTCTGGAGGAGGTATAGCTATGATTTTCTTATGAAAGGCAGCAATTCAGCTGCTGAAAATTTGCAAGTTGATATCCTGTCTGAGGTTTGTTGGGGATACATGGAATATAGGATGTATCTACAAGGAGATAGCATTTGAAATGCAGAAGGGATCTGCTGTAATAACAGATCTGGCAGCAGCCAGTGAAAGTGGGACTCCCAGGACTCATGAGCTCCAATGGAAAGTAAAGTTCTCTCAGTTTGAAGATAACACACAAACTTAAGGCAATTTATGTGAGATTATTTTCAAATAGCCATGGGATGCAGGATGCACTTTATGAGGTTCTGTTTGTAAATGTGCTGCAAGTTGAAGCATTATCAGCTTCTCTACCAAAAGTTGCCATTGTCCTCAGAGAATGAGGACGTACCGACAGATAAGTGCAGGGCACAATGCAAAACATTTATGACATTATACTAACATGTTTGATTAATCCTTAGGGCTTTTGTGAATTAATGCAGCTTTAAATTTGAGAGCAGCCATAAATGGGCATTAAGAACCACAGCTACCAGTACAGCAGTTGCTTGATTACCCTTAACAAAGAGTGCCGTATCACAGTTAGATTTGACTTTGTTGGCACAAAATGGGAAGTAAAGTCTTACAGTTTGTCAGAGCGACATATCCTGTCTTTCAATAATAATTTTCAATATTTGTTCATGGGAAATTGTGTTTTATTTATTTGTTTATATTATTTATTTAGTCTTCTTCATACAAGAGAGCACTCAGTGTTTTAAGGAACTGTCCGCTTATGAATTACTCAGTTGATCAGATTATAAAACTTTAGATTGTCTCGTTATCTCTACTACCGAAACTTATGTATAGTACAGTGGTAGACATTGTCTGCCAGTGTCACCACTTGGCGGCCATTCTGGATAACATTTGAGCAAAAGATGCCATGTATGAAAATAAACAACATATGGCTGTTTTTTTTTTTCTTTAAATAAAATTGAATAGTCATAATATTGATCTCTTCCTTTAAAAATGCTTTCAGTTTTCTTTCTTTGAATTGATTTGACCTTTTGGAACAGTGTGCCAGCGAGGCATCGTCAACATGGGAAATAAAACGAGGTTGATGGACATTGTTAAGGACTTCGCAAAAGATTCCTGGTGTTGATTTGAAAGAACTCAATCAGATCGCTCAATCCTTAAAGAGCTGTGGCATCTTTGCCAGATCAACTTAAGGCTACTTCTATCAAGAAAAAGGTTGACTTATGCCCAAAGGGCGAGATCAAACCAGACCTGAGGTGTTTTAATCCTTTCAGTTGTTGGGCTTATTAATTATTCTAAATGAATTGAGCTGCCTGGACTCCTGACATGCTGTGTGTAGACTTTGTGGACTCTGCTGCAAGTAAATTGCACCTTGGGGGCAAAATATTGAACAGTGAATAACGTATGAACATTGTTCTTGTTTGAAGTGGAGCTGTCAAAAGTAATAACCATTGAAGAGAAAGACCCCTTTGAGGTTAGAAGAAGTGTAACTTTAATGTTGTCTGGATCTTTGTTTATTGCATTTATTACTCATTCTAACAAGGATTTAAATATTATTGGGGTTATCAGCCTACTCTGTTTTGAAAGGATTCAGGAAATTGATATTAAGGAACACTTATGTTGAGATGTGGTTGCCGATTTCTATTCATGTTGGTTTTTCACTAATCTGGGAGGAAACGAGGATTTTCTGAATAATCTTGATATTTATCTCTTCAAATGATGGTCTTGTTAATCCCAGTATTTGGGTTCAGCTCAAATATTCCTTTAAAAAAAATTATAATTTTCATTTTCCCTGCCTCTGCTTTTTTTTTTTCTTGCACATTTCTGCAGCTCTTTTATTGGTTTCCAACTTTCCAAACTTGTCACCAGTGTTGGGAAAGTTCTCTTTCTAGTTCAGTTCACACATTTTAAAATGAACTAGTTCAGTTCATAGTTCATAATTCAAAACCAAAAAATGAGTTAGTTCATAGTTCTTTTTTTTTCATATATTGCTCAATTACACCATAGCCTACTGTAGAACCACAGCCAGCAATTATTTTATCAGTTGTAACTCTGAAACTGTGCGTCAGATTTCATCTTCATATCCAGTTTTGAATCCTTATCAAACCAGGGTTTACATTAGCATTGAGGGGGCAGCATTTCCCCATTGTTGCTTTAACGCTTTGTTGCTGTCCATTCACTTCACACTAGTAGCAGCTGCAGCTTTCACCCCTACAGTATATTCTCAAAAACATCAGGAAAAATGTGCTGCTTGAATGGTCTTTTTTATGAGTAATTATTAAAAGAAAAATAGGAAAGTAGTCTTTAAGGTGCAAATGTTTTTTTTTTTTATTTTAATAATTTTTTCCATTTGAAATTCCATTTTAATACATACTAAAAAGGAATACTGGAAAATTATACCAGGCAGGTTTAACAAACAAGTTACATGGATAGTAAAACCCTCAAGAACAGGGGTCTTCTATGTTTTCCAGACCAAGGACCCCCAAACTGATGGCGAGATGGAGCGGGGACCCCCTAACTATATATATTGTATGAAATTGTGTCCTATAGTCACTCTATTACAGATGGAGTAATGTAAAGAAATGTATTTCTCCCTGGGATTATTAAAGTTTTTCTTATTCTGATTCCTGGTTGTTGTGAAGGAAACAGTGCCCAGCTTGAAAGAGCTCCTGTGTGTCGCTGAATGTGAGCATTGATGACTGAAAGACATCTTTTGTCTCCATTTATCTGTTTACTACAGTGTGTTGATTTCATGTTAATGAGTATTTAAAGACATTTCAATTAGTGGGGGAAAAAATTGCAGGGGGGGGATATAAAAATATCAACTAACCATGCAGACCCTCATGCAGTACCTCCGTAGACCCCCTAGGGGTCGCGGATCCCCTGTTGAAGACCTCCGCTCAAGAAGATTTTACTAACACAAACTGAAGGACCAGGCTGAGGTAGGAATTTAAGGTTACTGAAGTGCGGATTTTTTTACTGAAAGCCGGCGGGCAAACTTGTTGCTATCATCCTCACCGACCACATGGTCATAAAACTGTTTTAAGTGATCATACTGCTGCTTTGTCGCCTCCACGGTAGCCTACATGCTGCTGTAGCTTCCACGCTGCATTTTGTTTTGATGACGCACGCGGCTGTAGGCTACGACGCTGGTAGCTGGTGTTGCCAGATTGGGTGTTTTTCCCGCTACATATTAAGGCCTGTTTACGGTGTGATTTAGAGGGGTTTCGCCTGGAGGGCTCTATAGAAATCTGGCAACCTATTGAACGGAGCTGAACTGAGAGAGCGTGCCGTTCACAGACACCAGGATGAACGAGTTCACAATAACGTTCATCAGGCAATAATGCAGTACGTTCAGTTCACGTTCGCCAAAATATGAACGAGTTCATGAACTTTCGTTCAATGAACGCGTTCAGGCACAACACTGCTTGTCACACGTCTTTCTTCAGTTTCACCTCCCCTGCCTGCAAGCGCACTCCTCACTCAATCAAATCGCTCTCACAGAGCCAGCTCTTGCTCCATCCCTCCTGCTGCTTTTCCTCTCCTATCTCTTACTGCTCAATGCTGATGGCTTAAAGAATAGAAAGAAAAGCCCAACTCATCTCATATTCTTATTGTGTGTGCCCTTACTTTTCTTCATTCTCCTGCTGCTGGCTGTCCTCAAACAGGTACACATCCATCATTAGTGAGGGCACTGTTTGGAGAGTCTCTCTCTCCACTGGCCTTTTTCCTTTTATTGCTGCAAAGGAGACATCTTGAACTGGATGGTGCTGGTCTAAACCACAGGAGAAGAATGATAAAATGCTGGCTTTAACCTCCTCATTCCCATAAGAGCTGAGAATCAAGGATTGAAATGCACATAAACTGATATGCGTAAATGCTAAGAGGTGTAAAAGGAAGTCAGAATGGAAAGGAATGGAATAGATCTGTCAGATGAACTTAAAAGCCCTGATAGAAGTGACACCAGTCCTGTTGATGCTCAGCCCTGCCTACAATTCAGTTAGAATGGGTTCACCTCATAATCTGTGTCTGATTTGTTTGATTTATCTGTGTGTGTTTTAGACAACTTGGCTTGGACCTGGTGCCCCGGCGGGAGTTCAGCATGGTGGACCCAGATGAAATCAGCGTAACAGAACTTTATAGACTGGTAAGGATTTTTTTATGTTCTTCAAAACCTCATTTATGGTTCAAAGGGTGTTGGTGTTTTCATTCAATAATACTCTACCTTATTTTACTGATACTGCCTATGTAAGATTTGTATGTCAAAGTCCTGGAATGATTCAGTTTTTGCACTTATGTTAGCAACGCTGATTTATATCCAAAGTCATATAAAAGTCAGTTGTATGTCACAATTAAAATCTCCCAATTAAGTAAAAAAATATCATACAATTAAAATGAGTTAAACTCCATATCAATAGGTGACAGTATGGCTATTTGGCTCAAAACTTTGATATCTAGTCTATTATTAAACATAGAGAAAGCTTAAACCTAAAAAAATAAATATGCCTTCCCTGGGAGGTGTTCCAGGCACATCCCACTGGAAGAAGGCCCAGTGATCATGGATCACTACTTTTCAAGGTGCATTGTGGAACATTTTCAGTCCACTACTTTTTCATCCAATAGATGTTCGGACACTCATTTATAAGGGCTTAAGCACTATATAGTGCCCTACATAGGGATTAGGGATCTTAGATCTAGTTCTTTGAATATGGTTTGGAGTCGTACAGAGGTAAAATAAATTTGGGTTTTGATCCTCAGTGTGGCATCAGCATCAGTGTTTTCCTCCAAGAGCGGCATTTGGAGCAGCGTTTCTATTGGACAGAATCACCTTTCCTTGCGTTTGCTTCAATATTTCCCTCCTTCCTTCTCCTCCTGCTGTTTGCTTCACCATTTTTCCTACCCGCCCTCTCTTGAACCCCATCCACTGTTACCGTGGAAACCACTCTTCTGCTCCGTAACGGAGTGAGGGGCGAATTATATCACACACACTCTCACACTGTGTCGGCTTTTGCTTCAGAGAGGGGTAATGAAGGCTCTTAATCCATCTGTTTCGTTTCTGTTGTTTGCTGAAACAAAGCAGCCGTACCAGGATGAAAGCAGAACAACACACCTCTGTTTACAAAATGAGCAAATGACTGCAATTCCCCGCTATAGAGAGGCAAGATTAAAAGAAAAGCACTCATTGCATACATCAGTGCATAAAGACCCTGACATGAGATTATATAAAGGCACAATAAAACATCTAATGATCCCTGATTACATCAGTATTTCTCAGTGAGATTATAAGTCATGGGAGAGCCTTAATTTATCTTTTGTCTGCTTTGGTATTTTGTTGCGAGTACAATAGAGATTATTTCTTTATATAGACAATACAAAGTAAATGACAGCTTTATAATTCTAACTATACAGGGTTGCAACTGTACGGAAGAGGATTAGGGCCACTGAAAAAAAAAAAAATGCTAAAAAGTACACAGACACACAATGGCAGAGTAGTAGAATAGTTTTTTCTAATAAGTTACTTCTATACTAAAACAAAAAAAGTTAATCTTCAACCAATAATCTGACTATTGCTCCATTGATGGAAAAAAATCGGAGACATTGGTCCAAGAATATAAAGTGGAATCATATGACCCCTGATCACCACCTGACTACCACATTATTATATCAGTAAGTTTAGTGATCTTGATCATAAAAGTTGGATTTTTCTTTCGAAGCCACTAACATCTCGCATCAAGGAGTTGTACACTCTAATGTTTTGCCTTTGAAAAGATGTTTTTCAGCTTTTCTGTACTTATTCAGATAGAAAACGAAAACCATGCAAGATTTTGGCTTTGGGGAACAGATAAACGGATTATTTCACTATCAGAAAAGCTTGAGTTTGATTTGCAGTTCGGTTTATTATATTGGCTTTATCTTGCTTGCAAGAAAAATGTAAAAAAAAATTTATGTTTATTTGCTTTTACTTCTGTTTTTCAGATTTTGTCTTCCTTTATTTGCAAAACAGGAAACTTTTTCAGGGAAAGAAACAAAACATTTTAAAGACACTAATTGCTTCCCTATTCCCAGCCGTAGTTTGTTTTGGCTTATTCCCTGTTGCCCAAATGCAATTGGATTTCAAACTTCCTTCTTAGTCCTTGGAGACTGAGATCAGTTTATTAATTTTGGTGGATCATGTAACAGTGATGGATCACTCAGACCTGGCACAGGACATAAGCTGACAAAGCCACTCCTTTGGTGAGAGAAAGACAGCGCTCTCCAAGATTTTTGGCTCCCATACTAAGACAAGTAAACAGCCTAGTAAGAAAAAAACATTAAAAAGTACCGCACTGCCCACATGTTTTCTCAGTGTAGTCTTTTTTTTTTTTATCATTGTGTCGATTATTACTTATTTACTTTTATTAAATTGCAGGTTTGCTTGTTTTTTCCTTTTGTCTCATCAAATTTATACCAAGAAAAGGAAATGTTATAAGTTAAGAGTAACAAAATCCACCATCTCTATGCAAGTATTTTTTTTTACACTATTTTGAATTGGTTCAAAACACAGCAAAAAGGATCTTAATAAGATGATCTGCCAATAGAAAGAGTATGTTTAGCCTTAAAATCAGATAATTGGATATTTTTCACTTGAATTAATAGAGTACAGTTGTTTAATTCTTATTTTAAATGTAAATTATGTTATTCCATTGGTAGAATCTCAATTACTTGCTCAAATCAAGAAAAAAAAGATTTAATTTAAGAAAAAATTACTTACTTATATTTCAATTATTTGTGTAATATGTCCTCCTACAAACTGTCCCATAGATGCTGCTCAGTCTCTTAGTTTCATGGAATCAAAAAACACTGATTCTAATTGAAGCAAGTGAAGCCTGCAGGGCTTTGAATGTTGTTCGAAGTGATTTTTGGACTTCTTAGAAGAGTGATAGATTTACTTTTGGAGTGTTTTTTTTAAGGCTGACCACATTGGAAAGGTTCACCATTACCTCATGTTTTTCTCCATCACTGTGGTTCACTTGGGTCCAACACATTAGAAATGGCTGTGTAACCCTTTCTGGGCTGATTTATATAGTTCATCATGTCAAAAGGGTTCTGTTTGTACCACTGTTATACTCTTTTAATATCCTGAGTAATGTAGTACCTTTCAGAAAAATTCTTACAGAATGGATCTTTGTAAATTCTGCAGCTGGCTTTTACAACTCTAAAGAGAGAGGTTTGTGGATGCACTTCCACCCATGTTTACTGTTTGGTCTTACATACTGTTACTTACATACAAAGGATGTGCATGGGCAATATGCAATTTGTGTATGGTAATCAGTCAAAAAAAACAGTATATACAGTAGATGACTTATAGAAATGTGGTAAAAAGAGATGATAAGAAGTTTAACAGGTTAGTTAGTAGTACAGGTTAGTTAGTAGTACATTATTTTTCTTTTATGTTAGTTTGACCTGTTCCTTCCATGCCTTCTCTAGGTTTTTTAGCTTCTTGGTGCACTTCACACAGTTTCAGAAATTCCTAAAGAAACAAAAGGACAAAATTACATTTGCCTGTCCAGCTGTATCCTGTCCTATTCCTGTCTTGCCATTGGAATGCCAGTCTCTCGAGTCTTTTCTCTGTGCCAAGTCATGCAGAAGCTGACACATAACCACAGACCGTTCCCATCAGGCAGCCTAAATGACACACTGAAAATAACATTGTAATAAAATCCCAAAGCATAAATTAGGCTTTCCCCGGAACTAGTCATTTTACGTCAAACCCAGCAGTTTAGACTTGTTCTGTGTAGCAGAAGCACTGATCCCTTAAAGACAGCATGAGTTTTTTTTTCTTAGGTCATTCTACCAGAAGGTGTCTATTTATGGGGTCTAAGTCAGACAGAGAAGACAGGACTTAACAAAACATATTTGTCACTTTGATTGGTGTTATTTTTAAATGATTTACGAGTGCATTTTTGCTAGGGTCTCATGTGAATAAGTGGTTTTTCAATTATCTGTTTATAACATCTATTCTAAAGACTATTCTTTTCGTACGTTATTGTTATCCTCACTGTTTATGTCAGATTTACTTGCATGTCTTCAGCCTTTCTAAGTTCTTGTCAATAAAGTGACCCGAAATCAGGGGAAGTCTACATAAAACTAAGATATTTACTTCTAAGGTGTCTGATTTTCGGAAGGCTCTTTTTGCTTTAATCACATAAAGCAAATAATCGATCCGCAATTAATAAATCTCTTGATAATTTCCCTCCCTGCTGAATTCGGGAGTTTACTTTCCTAGTTTTGTCTTGGAAACAACAAAACTGCAACTTGAAGCAAGAATGCTAACAGGGAAATAGTTTTTATTTTGTTGTTTATAATGGCCAACATGCCAGAATGCATTGAAAGTCACATCTCATTACTCTACTGGCCCACACATTTAGTTGTGTAAAATATATAATGCTGATTAATTTCCTTTTACATATAAAGTCAGAAAATTAGTAATACAAATTTTGTAAAACTAATAATAATTGGCTTTAAAAGTAATCCTAAATTCCACTGTTAATTTTGACTTCAGGGTTTTCTGCTTGGTGTATTTGCCAATGCCAACACTGTAACATCTGGATTTTTCAGCTATTTATAAAGCAGATGCTTGTTTACACCAGAAATGGAGAAAGGAGGTGCTGTCCCACTATTGGTATGAAACATGCACTTTTCGTATCATATTTTATTTCTGCTGTTAACACATTTTTAATTTTGATGGATTACCCACTACATTTATTTCCCCGTAAACATTTGTAGTTCTCTGCATAGAACTGCAATTATAGACATTCAGAGAAATATCTTAACATAGAATTGCATTACATATGTTTTGTCCATATGTCTATATGTATTTTTAAATGTTTATCATAAGTTTAGATATTTTTAAGATCACTGCAAAAAATTGAAATCTAAATAAGTAATTGTTTTCTTAAATTAAGTCAATTTTTCTTGAGTTGAAGCGGTAAGTGAGCCTCTTTGCCAAAAGAACAAGAACATTTACATAAAAAATAATTGTATTGTCTAATTTTAAGTGCATATTATCTACAGGTGCTGGTCATAAAATTAGAATATCATGAAAAAGTAGATTGATTTCAGTAATTCCATTTAAAAAGTGAAACTTGTATATTATATTCATACATT